GACTAGCTATTCAATATTTCAGAAACGAAAACGCAATGAAAGGCGAAGAGGCATATTCTGAACTCCCTGTTTTGCTTTCAGCTTTAAGCTCAGGATATTACACATGTTCCTTTTTGGGGAGGGTGTGAGACAAGACTAGTGGGCAAGATACACAAGCAGTTCAGAGGAGAGAGAAAACATTCCAGAGGTCGTCCCAAGAAACTCTCCTTCCTTAGAGAGCCTTTCAGTTTCTGACACACAGAAATCTCTAGAACCTATTCCCAGCTCTGGTGGACGGCAACAGCTTTGTGTGTGAGCGAGTGAGTGTGACTTAGGTCTGCCCCGCAGACACTAATGTTCCCTTTCTTTAGAAAACACCATTCTCTGTTTCAGGAACTGCTTCCCCAGTCTCTGTGTTTCCTGATGGGACTGTCAATCGCCCTGCATCTTTCGCAGACCTTATAGAGACGCTAGAGACCAGTGTACAAAATGTGTGCACTAGCACTAGGGGCAGGGGGAGTCTCTCAGCCCGGTGTGCACCCTTTGCAGTCTGGGGCCCTCGGGGGAGGTCTGCCTGCCAGCTTAGGACATCCCTCTCGCAGCCCAGGAGCCCTGCTCCTCACTGCTAGGCTCGCTGTCCCTTAGCTCTACTGCAAAGGCAGGGGAGACTCCTTCCACCGGCCTGGCACTCACCAGCTGTGAGCCCGGCTCCTGAGGGAGCGCACTGGCCACCAGGGGGGCAGCTTCTGCATGGAGCCTCTGCTCCCTGGTGGTCAGCGCGCATCATAGTGACCGGCCGCTTGGATGGTTCCACCATAAAGGTCGCCGAGCCTTTTATTATTAATATATATAGACTGTGCTCAAAGATGTGGCTGTGGGGCAGCCCAAGCTCGTTTTTATAGGCCCCGTAATGATATTTCTCTGCGGGGCCCAACAGGCCAATGTGCAAAGAAAAGTAAAAACGAGTGTATATAGTGTATGTGCTAGCAGGTGTAAGCCCTAGAATCGGGCCCCTGAGACTGTAGTTTCCACAGTTCTTTAGATTACATGAGCTACTCCGCAAGCTTTTCATGCTAGCACACTCAAGCGTTCAAGTTATCCCTCGGGATGGTGTGAATTGGGTTTCTTTTGCCATTTGCACCTGAGAGAATGCTAAGTGAAATGAATTGCCCAGGGCCCAGTGGCTCCTAAATGACAGAGCTGTCGTTCATACTCAGGTCCATCTCCTTCTACATGGCAGAGGTATCCTACTATGGCCATTTACTTTGCATCCTAAAGGTGTTGTGTTCCTAAAATATAGCTTTCTTTGAGACTGAGAAAGAGAGGGAAAGGCGCTGAGGTGAGGGGCTTGGTCCATCTGATCCTTTATTGTTTCCTGGTGGCAGGAGGGAGGTGAAAGCTGCAAATACAATAATATCTAATAAAATGTTATATATATATGTTATTGATTATTTATTTATTTATTTATTTATTTTTTTTTGCAGAGAGGAAGAAAGAGAGATAGTTAGAAACATCAATATACACTTGTTTTTACTTTTCTTTACAAGTTGGCCTATTGGGCACTGCAGAGAAATTTCATTTACAGGGCCTATAAAAATGAGGTTGGCCTGCCCCAGCTGCCTCCTGCACACCCCCTACTGGGGATGTGCCTGCAACCATGAAGTTAATTGGAGTTGAACCTGTGAACCTTCAGTCCACAGGCCAACACTCTATCCACTGAGTCAAACAAGTTAGGGCGATTTTAGCTCATTTTGGTATTTAATGCATATGAGTAAGAACTCAAGCTGGCAATCATATGAACTTCCACCCAAGTGCAAATCAAAGATGTATAATTCCATCAAAGGGTTTTCTCTCCCCTCTGCTCTATCCAGTTTGTAATGATTGCATTAAAAATAATGTTTAAAATAAATAAATTACAACACGAAGAATACATATATTTGTTTCCACTTAAAAAGTACTTTATTCACGGTTTCCCCAGTATATGCAAAGAAAAACAAGTTCTGAAATGATGCTAACAGTTTACAAATTAAATTAATGGCTTTATTTTATTTTTTTTTATAAGAATTGCTTTTATGTTTCAAGTCAAATCTTGCTTCCTCACTTTCCTATTCTAAATGTTTATTTCTCTTACTGCACTTATCATGATTTGAAATTAACTTGTTTACTTCTTACATTATGTATTATAACTTGTTCTTCATTTATTAGTAGGAGCCTTGCCAGTTTTATTTGTCATCATATTTTTAACAGCCTGGCATGTAAGAGACATGAAGTACTCATTAAATTCATTTAAAAAGCATTCTTCCAAAATCAAAGTCACTCTTTTGATACTGATAAAATGTACCAATAGTTTACAACTAAAGGATGATGTGTTTTTCTGTGTTCTCCTATAAAATGGGGGTGGAATTTTGTTGTAAGCCCAGGTATCAGCAGATGAGAACAAACAGCATTCTCGAATAGGCAAAGGGTTAGCTGAGTCCAAGAAGGCTTTCTGATTTAACTAGCTCAGCTCTTCATTCATCAGCATTTTACAGGGACTCTGCATGAGCTTTGTTTGAAGAATGAGTTCCATTACTTAAAAACAGGAGCTTGGGGTAGGTGTTAGAATTCCACTGTTCTGGGGTATTTGGAGCAAAAAATAGCTGAAGTTATTTACAATTCTAAATTATATATTTTTTCCTTTTAAAGTCAATGTGCTGTAAATACTATTAATGCTTTTGCAGTATAATAAAATTGCTTCTGCCTCAATTTAAAATATTTAAGCACTTATGCTTTTTTAGAATTTTAGGGGAAAGTGAAACACTAAGGCTTCTAGAATCAGAAAAATCTTCACCTTTTAGCTATGTAAAAAATTATAAAAGTTATAAGCCTTATGTTGGAGAATTTTGGAATCTTTTCTTCTCCCTTTGTGTTAATCTTATATTTGCATTTGATTTTTTTTTCCCTGTGAGACAGCACATGAAAACATGTTTTGTGTTTCCTCCCTGTCCAGGTTGCGTTTTATTTTGAGTAGATCTAAAACCAGATTAGTTGTAATAGGATTCCAGCATGTGGGCAGATGTCTATTTGTCTCGGACGATGTCTCTGGCAATCAGCTCCTTCATTATTTCGTTGGTACCACCATAGATTGGCTGAACTCGGGCATCCACGTAAGCTCTGGGTAAATCAGAAGAAAATTGAATTAATAAAGATATTAGAAATTATACATTTTGTCTTACTACACAACTATTAATTACTTTAAAGTATTTAATTAATGAAATCCAAGTAATAAATGTTTTTCATAATTACTTTTTTCCCAGTAAGGCATTCGTCCTTGATTGGTATAATTGCCAAATTCTATTAAGATAGTAATCACCTGTATAGCTTGGCTTTAGTTTGCTTGAAGAGGTTACAAATTCAAAATAACATCTATAAGTTTGTTCTGATTTAATTTTGTAAAACTCAACACATATAAGAGCATTGTAAAGAAGGGCATTTTAGATAGCTATGAAGAGAGAATGTTTTAATTTCTTATTATCTTTCATTTTTCCCAAAGAAGTTGAAATCCACTGGTTTTGTAGAAAACAAAACAGAAAATACATATTCTCTAACATCCTACCACTGATGCTGCTATCAGGGGTATAAACTGATGCTGTAGAAATATTACTTCCCACAAAGTTAACAAGTAACTTATTTTTTGGAAATGGTTAATAGTCACTCCAGTGGTGTCTGAGGTTAAAATACCAAGTGTCTGAGTCCAGTAGCGCGTGCGCGCGCGCGCACACACACACACACACACACACACACACACAGTTATGAAAAATTCACTTTTGGTAGTCATGATCATAACCATGACACTGTATAGCTATTTTTACCTGTTCTCATCTCACTTGATAGTCTCGGCTCTGGGGTCAGAGAGAATAAATATTATATTGTTTTGCAGGTAAAGGAAATGAGAAGTTAATACATTTACTATTTAATGGGCAAACAGATAATTGGCAGACTGCAATGAGAAGGTGACCTATAAAATAGCAAGAGAGAACATAATAGATAATATTTAAAAAAACGTAATGAGAAACCATAGGCAGTATGTGGGTAGGTAGGTGTCCTGCAAGTATCTTTTTTACTAGATCTCAATAGTTTCATTGGCCCAGGCACATAGGACTAGTTATTGAGCTTTGGAGTTTCCTAGTAGAGAAATGCAAAGGCATGGCTTTTTCAAGCATAAAATCTTTTTTTTAAAAAAATATATTTTTATTGATTTTTTACAGAGAGGAAGAGAGAGGGATAGAGAGTTAGAAACATCGATGAAAAAGAATCATCAATCAGCTGCCTCCTGCACACCCCCCTCTAGGATGTGCCCGCAACCAAGGTACATGCCCTTGACCGGAATTGAACCTGGGACCCTTCAATCACTGAGCCAAACCGGTTTGGGCAATCTTTTTTTTTTTTTTTTTAATTGAAATTTGAAATGTGCTAGCTCTCTAGGAACCTGACCAAATCTGGATTTATCCTTCTCCATGCTTATCATATGGCCCTGCAAAGGGTAAGCACTCAGTGAACACTGACTTGGTTTAGTGTATCACAAAGGGATTTTAGTGTCTCCATACCAACTTTTGGAAGAAACTTGAAATCTGGAGACATTAGTGTTTTCAAATATGTATTTTTTTCTTTTGAACACATTCCATTGTTGCCCACAAAATCCAGCCCTTGCATTGAAAGGGCCTGCCTCACATTTCAGTCTACTTCAGCGACCTCAATGCTTTTAGACATTTTTGGACTGGGTTAGGCTTTTTTTATCCTTCCACATTACAGAAGTTCCAATGGAATTGGTAATGACAGAGATCAGTAGACCTTTTTATAGGTTACTAATTAAATTCAGTCACCAACTAGAATGAACAGGGAAGGACAGCAGAATAATAAATGTTTAACCACATAAATGATGAAGCTCTACATCCCAGGCTGGCAGGGAATCCTGAAATGGCAGACAGGAAGCCTCTCTTCTCACAGGCCCAGGCCCAATGGGTAAGACCGAAGTCATTCCTGCTAAAGAGCAGCTTGTAAAAACAAACCAATGAAATGAAACAAAACAAAAAGCACCTCTTTTATCTGCGAAACCAAGACTCACACACACACACACACACACACACACACACCACACAATATAGCTTAATCTGAGGACAGAAGAAACACAACCAGAATGATTATTTTCCCTACTAAATCACAGTCTGTAACACAGCCACATGCTGCCTATGGTTTCTCATTAAGTGTTTTGATATTATCTATTACGTTCTCTCTTGCTATTTTATAATAAAAAAAAAAATTCCTTCCTTATGTCTTGGGAGAAAAATAGCAGTCTAGTTGAAAATTTTCATTTTTTCAAATATGAAGTCATCCAGCTACAGTTTTTGCTTGCTGCTGATCGGAAGGAATAGCCTTTTGGGCCATGAACTTGGTTGACTCCTCTTCACCCAATCGGCCTTTTTCAGAACCCGAACTAGACCAGACACACATGGAGCCACCCCTTGTCTACTTGCCCAGCAGCAATAGCTGCTGCACAATTGAATAGAAGAACACAGACACCAGTATTATTCTGCTTTCCTAGCATAGCGAATATTGGAAATAGACTGCTATTGTGAGTAAAACATGAACATGCACAGGAAAAACTTCAGTAATGATTTAATTTGTGCTAGCATCATTCAGTGTTTACTTTTGATTTTGTAACTATGCAAAGATAAAAAAAATAAATCTGCGTTTGATTAAGACTTGTTTGAAGTAGTTCTGAAAGAATCTAAACCCAAGGATTGATTTTTAAAAAAATTGTTTAGCTACTTCATGCCCATTCCCAAGAAAGGAAAAAGCCCTACTTATTGCTGAGATTTTATAAAAGGTTATAAACTGTATACATCCTGTGGTTAAAGTTTTATGAACTTTCCAGTGGCTACAGAAAATTAGTAAATTATATCTATGCCGAAGCTTCTGCTCTTAATGTAACTAATAAAATGTTTATTTTCCTCGTTAAGGACTGTAAGTATATAAAATGTTTTCAATTATGCTTGCCAAAATGAAGCATTTGAACGGCAGTTTGAATACTTTTTTGGTAATCTTCCCTTTAGATATTGGTATTTAGATTAGAATTAGAAAAAGTTTTTAGAAGTCCATAGCTTTCTCATTCTCTGATTCAAAACTAAATTGGACTTCGCTTGAGACAGCAAAAACTTCCTTGGGAAAATTTTATAAGCTGAAAATATTGCTAAATAAGAGGAGGATATATTTTTTCTAGAGTGGTGAGGAGTATTGCCAGAGGGAGATTATCGAGGCAAAGATTTATGGAAAGAAGGAAAGAAGAAATTATTAAATGAAGGAAGAAATATAGAAAAGGATGTTGCCTTATTGATAAACTGGTATGGCTTTGAACTTATAGCAAGGATATTCATATGTAATGGCATCAAAAGGTGTATTTAATTTATTTTAGTTTGAAGGAAATAAAATTTCTATTTGGAAAAAATTACTACTTTCAGTGTTTTTAGAGGAAAATAATAAAATATTTAAGATAGGAAAATTTAAATTCTTTTCATAGGCAGGCTGATTTTTCTGTAGGGTCTTCCCTCTTTTTCTAATTTAAAAAAAGTGACATTTCCATAGAAGACATAAAATCGACCAACAGGTATATATATGAAAAAAAATGCTAACATCACTAACCATCAGGGAAATGCAAATAAAAATCATAATGAGATAAATCACCTCAAATATTGACAAGGATGTAGAGAAACTGGAACTTTGCCTACGGTTGTAGGGAAATGCAAATGGTACAGCTGCCATGAAAAACAGCATGATGGTTCCTCAAAACATTAAATAAAACTACCACATGATCCAGAAATCCCACTTGTAGGAACTTATTCAGAAGAATTGAAGTCAAGACCTGCAGGCAATACTAGCACTCACATGTTCATTGCGGTATTATTCACAGTAGCCAAGATGGGGAAACAGCCCGACTGTTCACGGACAGATAAATGGATAAAGAAAAGGTGGTGTATACATACAATAGAATACTATTCAACCTTAAAAACAGGAAACTCGGCAGCGTGTGATCCTTAGGAAGGACCTTGAAGACATTCTGTGCAGTGAAATAAGCTAGTTATAGAAAGACAAATACCACACTGGTCCCACCTATATGAGTTATACAAATCCACAGACTCAATAAGGAATCACAGTTGCCAGGGACTAAGGGGATGGGAAGATGGAGAGTTACTGATAATGGGCTTAAAATTTCGATTAAGCAAGCCGAATAAGCTCTAGCGGTCCATACTGCAAAGTTGTACCAATAGTTTACAATACTGTTTAGTACACTCAAAAATGTGTGAAGTGCCCGGCTGGTCCAGCTCAGTGGTTGAGTGTCGACCCAGGAACCAGGAGGTCACCGGTTAGATTCCTGGTCAGGGCACATGCTGTGGTTTCAAGTCCATCCCCAGAGGGGATGTTTCAGGTCCATGATGTTCTCTCTCATCAATGTTTCTATCTCTCTATCTCTCTTTCTTCCTCTCTCTAAAAATCAATAAAAAAATTTATTGTGAAGAGAGTAGATTTCATCTTTTTTTTTTTTTTTTAATAAATATATTTTATTGATTTTTTTACAGAGAGGAAGGGAGAGGGATTGAGAGCTAGAAACGTCAATGAGAGAGAAACATCGACCAGCTGCCTCTTGCACACTCCCTACCGGGGATGTGCCCGCAACCAATGTACATGCCCTTGACCGGAATGGAACCTGGGATCTTTCAGTCCGCAGACCAACGCTCTACCACTGAGCCAAACAGGTTTCGGCAGGTAGATCTCATTTTAAATGTTCCTATCATGGTTAAAATAAAATAAAATAAAAAATAAAATAGTTAGTAGTCCATGCAAATTAAAAGAAGAATGACAACCTATTTTTTTTTTACCCATTAGACCTGCACCAAGTTTAAAAGGCAGTAACATCCATAGCTTAGGATGACAAGTCATCGGACTTTGTTCATTTAAGTATGAGTTGCTACTAACTGGAGGAAATAATCTGGAAATTATAAAATTTAAAATATGCATACTTTTGAACTAGCAATACTATTTTTGGGGCTCTGTCCTGTTACAATCGAAAACACAGGTATCTAAGATAAATGTAGTAAGGGCCTTGTTGTAGCATTGCTTGTCAGAGTAAAAAAAAAAAACAACAGTAAAATAACCTGAATAATTATGGCTAATCTATAAAATATAACATTACTTAACTATTTCAAAAGTTATATTAGTCCTGCATAACAACTCACATAAAGCCAAGCATATGCTTTAGTAAATTGGTCTCTCCACTTTTTAAAAAAATGATAAAATCCTCAGGGTGAGCCAATACCATAAAGCCGTTTCCACCTGCTTGAATACATTCTATGGTCAGTTGGAAAATGAAGACTTTGCACCTTCTTCCCTTCAATGTGCAAACCCAGTTTTTATTTTTCTTCACCTCGACCAGAGGCGTGGAACAGAATCGTCATACTCACTTTGCAATTGGGTACTCCCACATGTATCCCCAACCTCCATGAAGCTGCACACAGTCATAAGCCACGCTGTTTTGTAATTCAGATGCCCTAGATGAATAAAATAAAAAAATAGAAGTGGAATATTTGAAATGGATTTGCATGAGGTGCTTCACAATCAGGAAACAAGCTATTTATCAAATGCATACATTTATCCAACAATTAGAAGCAGACACATAGCCAAACTGAGATATAATTGTAATTTTGTATAAATTACACATGAAATAAATCTCAGGAGAATTTTCACATAATAAATACTTTCTTCATCAATTATATTTTGGTTGAGTTTTTGTTAAGGCTATAAACAAAATGTGGAAAGCATAGACTATTAGTTTTTGGCTACTTTATGCCTGAGAGGGATAATAGTAAAACCTTGAAGTTGGTCTACTTTATTTAGACTCTATATGATCTAAGTTAACAATATAATTATACAATCACCTATTTCCTTTTGTCTTTGAATTATGTCATAACCCTCTACCCCAAAAATGTCACTTCCTACCTTAATGCTATAAGTCTGAATTCAAATAATCGTAGAAAAAAATTTATTTTAGGGTTTTCAGAAATAAACTGAAAATAAAAATGAAAACCTAAAGATGATTCACTAATGTTAAAGTGCATGCTGTCCCATAGGAAACTTATTAAAGATTATTTAGGAATTATTGTCCTTGAGACAATATGAAGTACTTGAGAAATATTCTTTTCTGATCTTATCACAATAATTTCAATTATCATTAAGGGATTTTATTTATCTTAACATAAAAGATAGTTCAAAATTACTTTCAACATATTTTTCAGTAGCATGAAATAAAGCAAAGGTAAGCATGGACGTATTTTCCTATTAAAAATAATTTTAACTCCAATAGGACAGGTGAGGATGTTCCCAAGAAATACAGTAACAATATGATTAATAGACAAGACTCAAGGGTAATAATATTTGGAATTCCATGCATTTTTGTATTTGGTAAGTATTTCAGCAAAATATTTACCAGACCATAACTAGTTGCTTACTCTGCTACAAAATGAAATGCCATATGTTTATGCGCCTGTAAACCAGGTGTTTTCAAGGACGGTGAGGTCTATAACTATCCAAAATATCTCTTTTTCTGAAAATATCTAAAGTTATTTTTATACTTTTTAAACTAATCAAGAAACTTGCTGGAAATGTCTCCCCTTCCCAAAGTGCAAATTCCTAGTAATTTCAACCTGGCAATTTTATTATTTTGGAATCATTACATAAAGCACTCTTCTGCATATTTCCCCATTCTACTTTTGATTGAACTGAACACAAGTTAATGAGTAATGACAGGAATTTTTTCTAGGTTATTTTTGGGCTAATGAGATGTGAGAATGTTTGCTTTTAAAACAGAGACCAAACCCATGTCCAGAATCTGATTTAAAATATGTTCTTCCATCATAAAAAAAACCACAAAAGCCTTACAGGCGTTTTTTTTCAATCAATTCACCTTAAATACCATTGCTAATCACCTTTAACACCAATGAAAGTCTTTCTGAACTTAATAGTATATTCTTTCCTTTCACTTCATAGAGCATGTACAACTTTTGATTGGACAGTCAGCTCTTCAGACATTTTTCTTTGATCTAAAAGCACCTTAAATAGGAAAATCCTGCCCAAGCTACTCATTTCACAGATATCAAAATGCTGTCTCAAAAAAAAAAATTAAATGTAATGATAGTTATTTAATGAAAACTGGGACTCTTCAGTTTTACTGTACATTTTTGGTCTCACTCTATTGACGCTCCTCAGATCATTTTAAATTATTATTATTATTATTTTTATTTTAATATATTTTATTGATTTTTTTGTCCCCACCCTCCCTCCTATACATACCCTCCCTCCCCAGAGTTTTATGTCCATTGGTTGTACTTATATGCATGTATACAAGTCCTTCGGTAGATCATTTTAAATTAAACTTAAATAAACTCATCAGTCATCCTACTTCAGTCTCGTAGTGTTTTATTTTCTTTTTTTTTTTTTTTTTTTTTTAAATCAATCTTTATTGTTCATATTATTACACAGGTTCCTCGTTTCTTCCCCCCTCCACCAGGTTCCCACCCCAAC